TTTATATTAAAATTTTTAGTCATTTCAACACTTATTTAACATAATTGCAGTACAGAGAACTAGTTTTTGGTGTGCCAATCAGCCACTTCACTCACCCACCAAGGCCTCAGTTTGTACCGGTATCTCTGTTCAGTCGAGGAAACATCTTGCTTGTGGGTCTCTTGAACAGAGTATTTTTACGTTTTTACAGTACAATTATTGGTCATTCTGAAATTTATTTAACATATTGACAATATATAGTGCAGTGCAGTGTTGATTTAAAGAAAATAATCTTGAATTACCCCTAGTGAGCTTAAAATTTTATGGGTGAAATGACGGCATCAAGCATGGGGTGATTTCTCTTCCACCCCCACTTCCTTCTCTTCTCCCTTCTCCTTCACCCCCACTTCTAATTCCCATCATCATCATCAACCAGGAGCCTTCTACTGTACATACACACCTCAAAGTAAGTGTACTTTACTGCATTTTTTTTTACTTTGTATGTAATTTTTGGTGAGCTGGAACCAATTACCCAAAATCCCATTGAAACAATGGTTTCAGTTAACGAACGACCTTCTGGAACGAATTTTGTTCGTTAACCGAGGGACCACTGTAACATAAACTGGAAAAATTTTGCCAAATGCAAATACCTGTACATAAACTAATGGGAAAAATAACAATATTGACTGGCCACTCTACATCAACCTCTGATTTTCCCATCTATAACCTCCAAATGATACAAATTCTGCCTTTATTGACTCGATTCTGCTTTCCGGAAACTAGTTTTTAGGCCTTCCTCAAGTAATTTAATCACACGCTGCTTATCCTGCATTGAGTACTTAGCAAAAACTCCCTTATGATAGTCCCGCTTCTCCTTTTCCTTATTTGTCCGCTTAGGTGGGTCTGTCCCACCCCCACCAGCCTCAGTTGGACCCCCAGTAGAGGTAGAGGCCATTATCTTGACTCAACAGGTGGTAGCACCACCCAAAAAAACAGACAATAACAGCCCAGGCGGTCGCTAGGATGGTGCGGGCTACAACGCGATAGTTGCATTCTTGTAAACCTCTTTACGTTCGCCACCGGCAATTCGATCACCAGAACGCTTCTTGGGAACATTCTTCTTACCTTGTCTTTCCGTATTCATCGCTAACACAACAAAATTGGAGAAAACCGTGCGATTCAACTGATCACGTGATGTAAACAGAGAGCGCTGGTGTAAATCTTTATTAGTCCTCACTGCGAAACATTCTTTTTACTTATTCTTTTCATACAGTATTTATGGGTAAGTTAAATTTGTAAAAAAAAAAAAAAAAAATTACAGAGTACCTCCCAAAAAACACTTCACAAACAAAAGACACGAATCAACTGAACATATGATGTCGAACGTGAACTGTAAACAATGCATAACCCTGCACCACGCTCAAAACATTGAGGATGGAATCGTGCTATAGCCAACATTTGTATGCAAAAGTTCGCATTTTACAAACAGCGTTCCCCTATTCATCAATCGCACTGCAACCAATTTGTGTTGACAAAACACACGCTGTAGCAGAAATGACTGTAACTGGTATGAGGGCTGTGACGTCATTCAAGACGGAGGCCAGCATTCAGCTGGCTGGATCTCGCGAAATTCACGATATTTTACGCCAAATATAAGACTTGGTTACATTAGGTAGTGCTCGCGAAATTCAAAATCACGCAAAATATGAGATCTTACTGTATACAAATAAAAGAATTAAGGGGAGCATCCAGCTGAAGCACAAAATGAGTTAATAATAATTGATCGATCAATATCAATTTCCTGTCAGTAATTAAGGACACCAGATACATTGTTGCTATAATACTCCTGAATTGGTTCTGCCCTAATCCCTGATTTTCCCCTTATACTGTACTGTATTCTTATAAATTTTCAGAATCTTACTTCTCCATAGCTTCTTGCTAGATTATCTGTATGTCAGAGTATAGATAATTTACTCCTCTTGAACATGACATACAGTGACCCCTCGGTTAACGAACTCAATCCGTTCCAGAAGGTCGTTCGTTAACCGAAAAGTTCGTTAACCGAAACCATTGTTTCAATGGGTTTTTGGGTAATTGGTTCCAGCTCACCGAAAATTTCCTAAATTCAACAAAAATGGTAGAAAAGTTCACTTACTTTGAGGTGTGTATGTAGAAGGCTCCTGGATGATGATGATGATGATGATGGGATTTAGAATGGGGGTGGAGGAGAAGGAAGAAGAAGGCATTGGGGTGGAAGAGAAGTCACCCCATGGCGCCATTTCACCCATAAAATTTTAGCTCTCTTGGTGTAATTCAAGATTACAGTATTTTCTTTAAATCAACACTGCACTACATTATATATTGTCAATATGTGAAATATATTTCAAAATGACCAATAATTTGCTTGGAAACACAGAAAAAAAGAATTTAGTTGAAGAGAGTCTCAAGCAAGATGTTACCTCCAGTGAAAACAGAGAGAGACTAACGCCTGTTTGCTGTGTTAGGAGGCTGGATGCCGCGCATTAAACTAGTCACTTTACCTTCAATTATGTTCAATAATTGTCAAAATGACTAAAAAATTGAATATTAAACTTTTAAAATTATTGAATAGTATAAACTTCTTGATATTTACTAAAATAGTAAGGAATTTAAGCCCTAGAACCGATTAATGTATTGGCGGACTGATACTAAAGCTGGTTGCCCGGTCAGTGCAAGCGAAAACATGTTGAGGTCGGTTCGTAAGAAATTCGTTAACCGAATTTTTGTTCGTCAAACGAATTGAAGATCCTTATGGAAGGCAGTTCGTTAACCGAAATTTCGTTAACCGAGGCGTTCGTTAAACGAGGGGTCACTGTATAGATATTCCTAATTATCACTTTGTATTGGGTGCATGAATATTTTCCTAAGTTACCATTTTTCCTTCAAATATTTTCAGTATAATGATGAATCGGCAAATAATAAACCAAGCCAACTATAAAGAAAATCTATATGTTCAGCCATGCACAAAATGTTATTCTACTAGTTAGTTTTTATTTTATTAGAATCGGCCCATAAATGACCGAGCCTTAGGGATTTGAAGGTTAGAAAAACATGTTCTGCGATATGGGCCGATAGGGTGGCGCGGGAGCAACAGAGGGTCGAACCTCACCTTTGTTTCTTTTGTGTGTAACTGCGGTGTACAAGACTCTGGCCCTACTGCTAGCTAGCTGAGAAAGGTACCAGATATTGATTTTTACCAAGTGATTGGTATTACTTTACACCAAAATATCATTATAAATACTTTTCTACAGCTTTTGCTATGTAAACAGAAGGGCCCTCTAAATGAAGGGAGGGGGCATAGAACAATCATGCATAGCTACAAAAATATTATGAATTATGCAATTAAAATACATCAACAGATAGCCATAGGCAACAGCCTTCCCCAGGAATTTTTCTGAATATTTTCGTAATTTTTTTATTTTCATCCTATTTTCAGCTGGACGTTTCCCTTAATGAGACAATCAGCAAGGAATATCAACTGTTAGATAAAGAAAGATCTTGCATGATGGAATGACAAATCTGACAATGAAGAAAGTGATGTAAGCCAGTCAAAAATATCTGTTAAACTAGACCCACAACTGTATCAAACAGGAATGGAATATGCTTCTAAGTGAATGAGTCCAAGACATTAATGACATACAGCTGTCTTACCAAATTCATTCTGACCCCATCAATGTATTCTTTAGTCAATGACTGGGTATATGTGTGTGTGACTTGCAGATGGACGGACATGAGCGACAGTATAATGGCTTCTGTAAACTGATGTGGCAGGGCACAAAAAAAGAGAGGAAGAAGAATTTCATTACAGAGAGATGCACAAAAATAATAATAGGAATCCAGTGGAAAGAAAGTGTGATACAACAAGTCCAGTGTACAAGACACAGGAGGAAGCAAGTACAGTAATACATGAACTGAATTGTGACTATTTTGTCCATGATTCTGCTTGTGCTTTGTGCCATGAAGTGTGGGTGAAGCTATATTGCAGTACCCTATACTGAAAATTAGTGAATATGTACTGTACTGTATACATTACTGTAATTTAAATGTTTCATATTGTCAATCATTAAAAATTTTAATTTTCCAATGGTGGCAAATGCTAAAATACCAATTGTGATCCCAAATAATTTACAAAAACAGACAGATATGAAAATTATCAAAACAAAACAGTTCATATCTACATGAACATTACTACAGTATATTGTATAGACAAGTGTAAGTGTCATGACCAGATTATATATGACAGCTATAGGAAAGTTTTTTCAGGTATGGTAATATATTAAGAAACCGAAATACATAACAAACAATTAATTAGTTTCTCTTACTATGAAAATAGTAAAGGTAGTCTAGTCACACATATTTTTTGTTAGTGATTTAAAAAATGCTAAGTTCTTCCAAAAACAATCTTTATATCTAAATAGTTCTGAAAAATTATTCTTTTTAATATATATATATATATATATATATATATATATATATATATATATATATATATATATATATATATATATATATATATATATATTATATATATATATATATATATATATATATATATATATATATATATATATCATGTACATCCACAATGAAAACGTGGATAAGATAAATCTTGATAAAATCACACGGGAAAAGGGAAACAACGGAGCACCCTAGCTTTCGTCTTTATTCAAGACATCTTCAGAGGTAACTGGATTACATGGACAGAGAGAGGCTTAAATATACAGGGTGACCTTATTAAACATGAGGTCAGGTCATAATGATGTGTGTTGGTGTGGGGATTAGTGGATGACATCATTATGACCTGGCCTCATGTTTAATAAGGTCACCCTCTATATTTAAGCCTCTCTGTCCATGTAATCCAGTTACCTCTGAAGATGTCTTGAATAAAGACGAAAGCTAGGTGCTCCGTTGTTTCCCTTTTCCCGTGTGATTTTATCGATATATATATATATATATATATATATATATATATATATATATATATATATATATATATATATATACCATTATGCCATGCCCATAATTTTCAGTTTTCATCAAAATGAGGCACATTTTGCAATGCTATCAAGAGTAGTCATAAACATGTACAAGCAAAACAAGAAGCACAAATAATACAAAAATATACTGTACACTGTGGGTAAGGTAAGTGTAACATTAGTACTGTAGTCTTATGCTGAGTCTTACTTAACTGACTTCTGATGTTTTCATGACACATGGCAGGTCAAATTTAAAGAGACTTTTTACTGTAATTTTAAAATTAATCTAAAATGCAATCAATACAAAAAATATTTTTAGATATTTGCCTCCATGACTGATTCAAATTGATTTCGATTCATAGGATCGAGCTTCTGTCATACCTGCTCTGATGCTCAGTGGAAGTACTAATTACATAAGAAAACCCTTATAGTTCAGAATTCTGCAATATTTTATGAAATATATAAGTTGCATATTTCATTAACCTGACTCCTATCATTTTATACAGCATATTCCCTTGACCAAGTACTGTACAGTACTGTACAGGTTGGACCCTGCTAATCTGGGACCCGATAGTCTGGCAGCTTCGATGGCTCAGGACAGTGTTTGAATCTGTCTGTCTTTAGTTTCCTAACCTATAATATACAATTTTCTCTGTGTTTTTTCTGCTTATCTAGTTATTTCTGTGTCACAGTACAGTAAACTTGTGCCATAGCACTAATACTTTGTCATAGAGGTCCAGTAAGCCTGGGCTAGATATACACTGATGTAAGTTGTATTGGTACCAGCAATAGTAAATTTTATGCATTAATTTGCATTTGTTTAATCTCAGCTTCGATGGATCAGAATTTTCGCTAATCCGGAACAGGTCTGGTCCCAAGTTTCTCGGATTAGTGAGGTCCAACCTGTATTATAAACAAACACTTTCATTTGCAAATTGTGATTTCTAACAAGATTAGTCAGTACTGTATATTATGGAATGCATCATTATAATGATCTAAATTCGGAGTTCTGTTTCTGTTTCATAACATAAGTCATGGCAAACCGTAGAAAAGCACTCACATGTATTGATGACACTAAATATTAGAAATTCAATAAAAACTGAAAAAACAAAGACACAGCAATTACAATATGAAAATATATCAAACAGTATCACAGTTTCTGATAAGGAGTACCTCTAATTACTATTGTGCTACACACAAGTACAGCATTCATGAAAAATAAATGAAAATCAGGTAAGCACAGGTGATTCATTATACACAACTTCCTTACTTACATTCAAATTTTACATCAACTTAATATAATGTACTCCACATTTATGCTGTATAATGGAATTAAAAAATTATTTAGTTTTTCCTCTTCAATTTACAATTCAAAAAGCCATCAATGTGTTAGCATTGTGATACATTACTGTACTGTACCACAATGCCAAAGCTAATTTCGAAATTTGTCAGAAAGTGGAGACATTAAAAGTTGTGGTAAAAACTTTCTGAGATTCTACTATACTAAGCAATATTCATAGATCATTATTTAACACTGATAAAAAAAAAACAATATATCTTCTTTTTTTAAGGTAATAAAATAAAAATAATTACAAGATAACTGTACTTGTTAAGATGTATCACTAAGTACAGAAAGTCCTGTATTATGTATACTGTACTATAAATTTGAAAAAACAAACAAAAACAAATGAAAACAAGCACAACCATTCAAATGTCCATTATTAGCCAGTAAAAAACATAAGTCAGGCAATTTGTTTACACAAGGATGTGCCTTTTCATATTATTTCTTAATACGTATAACATAACATCATATACTTCAGTGACTTAATTCATGGGTCAATCAAATTGCACCAACTTATGAATAGACACCACAACTTCCAATACAGGCAAAAAATCCTTCTCATACAATGGGATTGACATCGTCGTCTTCATTATTCACCATGCTGATGTCTTGACCTCTCCTGCCAAAGAGTCGCAGAGGGGGGAGGTGGTCACACATGCCAGGAAACAGACCAAACTTGCAGTGTACCAAGGTCACGACCACCACCGCCAGGAGTAGGAAGATCATTATACCCAGACCTATGCCTAAACCCAAATGGCTGTTTGATGGTTCTGAGGAATAGAAGAAAAAATCTTCAAGAATATGTTGAATTTAAGGACAATATTATAGGAAAAAGAAAACGAATACTGTATTGCCAAAAACTTCATTCTAAAACACTATTATGATTTTATACAGTAACTCTTCACCGAACATTGGAGATGCATTCTTAGAAAGTACAGGACCATGTTAAGTGAGTTTAATACAGTAAGTACTGTACAGTATGATATATTTATATTATAATGCAGCAATCGTTTCTAAATACAGTACATAAAGGTTTTTCCACTGAGCACCACAGTTCACTTATGGCCCACTACATCTTCAAAACTAAGGAATATTACAAATTTAATAACTTTACTGTATTTGCAACAATTATATCAATGAATTGACTGTAGTTTTAACTGAAAAAACAAATGCACCACTGAAACTATGTTGAAACTAGAACTGCACTATACTCCATGTTGAGTTATAAGGCCACAATCCAACTACCTCATCCTAACCCAATGAGTACATTTTCAGCAGAGATTGAGTCTACTGTTTGTCCTTTTTGATAAAACAGGTTTGGAGCTGCCTATTATTTCATTGTATACAGTACTGCATTTAAGTGTATACAGGAGAATTTCCAAATTCACTACTACTGTATTAATAATACATTCACTGACCCACCACAACCTAAATTGATTAGCTGACAGACCCCAGAAGAATTTACATACAGTGAACCCTCACTTTGCGCGGTTAATTCAACCCACGGCGGCCCGCGTAAAGTGAGAAACGGGTAAAGTGAACAACATAACATATGGGATTAATTGAAATAGAGACCGAGCCGACCCCCAAACTCCACTTTTTCAGACACAATACCTACGTTGTAGTAAAAATAACTTCTTAATTTTATGATGGTATGCACACACAATTAATAATTAAGAGAAATATCAATAATATTAAGTTTTTTAACACTTACATTAGTAGAAAAGATGGCTGGGCACACGGAGATGGGGGGTTGGTTCCGAGGCAGAGGGCAGATTATTGGCCCTCACCTGTATCACTTGTATCACTATCCACCACAGAGGCTTGCAGGGCCTCTTTGTCAAACCCCTCAAAGTCCATATAAGTCCATATCCTCACTATCATTATCACTGACTTGGGCCGGCTGTGGTGGGTGGCGGGTGAAGAACTCGGTAATGTTTTGATGACTGGGCGACCTTGTGCGCACCCTGCTCGCGCCGCTCTCCGCGTAAAAGGGTACACACACCGCAGAAAGTGAGCATTCCGGTTTCGGCAGAGTACCGCGTAAACGTGGAAACCGGTAAGGTGGGACCGCGTAAAGCGAGGGTTGACTGTATAATTAATTCACTAAATCAAATGTAACATGCAGCTCGGCTAAAATTAAATTTGGGTCATCTCAAAACATCCACCTGCCCATGGCTATCCTATATCATGTGGTAGGTGGTCTAAAACAACCCAACAGGGCAGAGTCTCAGCCTCTGCAATTCAGTAACCATAAAATATGCTGAAAAGCTTTTGGTGACAGCAAGACCTCCACAACAAGAAAGTGATTGTGTTGGGCATAAAAGTAGACTTACATCAGTGAATATTTTTCAACCTGGCCTTCTCCAAAGGAATCCAAGATCTTGAGGGTTTAATGAAGAATTTTATTTATTTTATATTTCAAATGTTATAGTAAATAAAGTGTTAGTACAGTACTCTACAATATAGAAAATACTGTATGTGAAATGTAAACAGTACTGGGACAGCTGAAAGCTAGCCAAGCCACTGGACAGGCAACTTTCAACATTCTAATGACTGTCAGTAACCATGGACTGCAAAGGTACATTAGCTATTGGGAATTTCAAACCCTGTGATCACACAGTAATAACAAGTACTGTACTGTATTGTACAGTATTAATAACTTACCAACTGGTGAATTATTTTCTTCACACTTGCCAGTTGCTTCATTCAGAATAAACTGAGTCTTGCATTGACAAATACCATTACCTTCACTCACTTCCACGCACATCTCATTACTGGAACATGGCTGTAGAGCTGTAAGGTTACATTTCTGAAGAAGAAACCAAACCAAAACACTAAAATGAGTACAGAGGTTTCTTTTTTGTGTATAGTATTACAGTACAGTATACTTTTCTCTATATGCTTAAACTTTGAGGATGCCTTTCCACACTATGGTAAATTAAATAACTCATTACAGTAATAAATAATATTTTCAGATGTAACAGACCAATATGAATTGCTAATTATAACAATTTACTTTCCAAAGTTGTCAGTACCTTATGCTGGAAATTTCTGGTTTAAAGATCAAGGAACACATTTACAAAACAATACAGTATTCACAGATATTTAGCTTGAAATTTCAGTTCTTAAATACAGCTCCTCCCTGACTTATGACGGGGTTAGGGACTGGCATCCAGGTCGTAAGTCGAAATGGTCTTAAGTCGGAAATGCTTAAATAATACATAGAAAATCTAAAATGGGCTCTTTTTCTTCTCAGCACCACAAAACACTCACTTTTAAGCTTGCCAGCTATTTTAAAGTGAATTACAAACGAAAATTTTGTCTGTGTACTGACTTTGGGACTCAAAAATATGTAATTTGACCAAATTTTGGTGCGACTGAGGCAGGTCGTAAGTCGGGGAGTAGCTGTACAGGGTGCCCCCAAGTTCATGGATTTTTACTTCGCGGTTCTCAGTTATTCACGGATGACATCCTGGATGTACCCAAGAATGTCTGTGGGTAGTTTTAAAGTTGCCGGCATTTTTGCGGCTGGGACAGGGAGCCATTCATTTTAGAGACAGTAATTTCCTTTACATGTATTGTAAATATGTCTGTGACACACACACACACACTCTACTACTACAGGTAAAATATATAATTGTCCTAAAGGCAAACACATAAAGGGAAAAGTATTTTTTTTGTACACTAAGTAAAAATGTACCCCCTCCCCTGGTCAGAAAATGTTATTCACGGATTTGGCGATTCGCGGCCATTTTGAGAACTTAACCCCAGCGAATTTGAGGGGGGCCCCCTGTATTGTACATGTATCCTCGATAATCATAGGGGTTAGGTCCCAGAAAACTTCCGTGATAAGCAAAACAGTACATTTCAAAACACACAACATAGGGGGAAAAATTAGTTTAGTCCTATGACCCCAAAGATGCATCCCCCAACTGACCAAAATATACACCCAAAAATGTGTAGGTATAGTATTTCCGTAAAGCTCGCGGTTTTAAAGCTTGTGTCCCTCGGAAACTCACGGATTGCCAGGGAAAATAAAATAAATAAATCTGAGGCTGTGTGCCAGGGATCAAGAGGAGTCAACACTACAGGACAGTACAGAGCACAATATTTCCCAGGTCATAAGATGCACTTTATAATTAGGAAGGAATATTTTGGAAAAATAAATTTTGAAGATTTAATAGCCTACTGTACTGGCAAAGCCACGTCACATGCAATATGCTATCATGTTGCTCACTACCACAGCTAACTATGACTTTATGGACCTATTATCAAACATTTGTTGGTATTATTATTAACTTTACCTCATTTAATACAAAAGGATATAATTAAACATATAGGTACCTACAGTATACACATTACAAATACTTATCTGTTTATCTGTACCAGACATGTTCACTAGGAACTGTCCAGTACAGGGATTGTTTACATCCTGACATTTTAGAGGTATTGTCTTTGCATTGTCACTACCACAACTAACTATATATCACTGTGTGGACAATATGTCCATACAGAGTTAATACAGTAATCTCTCCGTTAGCCGGAATCCCTCAAACACGGAACTCTCCGATAGCTAGAATTTTCGAGAATATTCCGGCTTTGGGAACGATTTTCTGAGGTGCACATTTTCTGGAAAATTCAGAGAAAATTTCCCAGATACCCTGAAAATTCTGGGGATGGGAAAGTTTTTTCCGGGCTTGAGAGATGAAAATCAGGCGCATTTTCTGGAAATTCCGAGAACATTTTTCCGTTACCCAGAAAATTACGGGGATGAGGGATTTTTTTCCGGCTTTGAGAGTCATCTCATTACCCGGAAATCTCTCATTCCCGTAAGTGCTCTGCACCAATTGTTCCTGCTAATGGGAACATCCCTGTATTTCATGTTTGTTTATTTATTTGTTATTTCATATTTATTATAAAATCTTATGCATACAAAATGTTGTTATACATATGCATATAGATAGTATTTATATGTTTATTTTGCACACTCTTGTAGCATGAAAAATTCACGGATGCTTTCTCACAGGGTCCATTTTACCTAAACCCAAAAAGTTTTAAGGGAATACCCCTGCAGCTCCTACTGAACCTATGCACTTTCCTATAATCTCCACTCGTAGGGTTGCCGGTGTGTTATCCAGGTTGGATGTGAGTAAGGCGCATGGACCAGACAGAATACCCCCTCGTGTTCTGAAGCCTTGGCCCCTGTGCTTGCTCGCCTCTTTTGCCTCTGCCTCAAAACCCAAACTTTTCCTTCTTCTTGGAAGCATGCCTTGGTTCAGCCCATCCCGAAGAAGGGTGACCATTCTAATCCCTCTAACTATCGCCCCATTGCCCTAATTTCATCCCTCTCTAAGATTTTCGAAACTATCTTAAACTCCCATTTTCTCCGTCACCTTGAAAGCCTTTCTCTTTTGTCGGATCACCAGTATGGCTTTTGCCAGGCGAGATCTACTGGTCATCTGCTCTCCTATTGCACCCATCTTTGGCCATCCTCTCTTAGGGATTATGGGGAAACTTTTGTCGCGGCCCTCGACATCTCCAAAGCATTTGACAGGGTATGGCACAAGTCTTTGCTATCTTAACTTCCCTCTTTTGGTTTCTCTCCCCCTCTTTGTTTTCTCATCTCTAGCTTCCTTGAGAACCGATCCATGGCAGTTGTTGTCGAGGGTTCGATCTCTCGTTCTTTCTCTACCAGTAATGGTGTCACACAGGGTTCTGTTCTTTCACCTACTCTCTTCCTTCTTTTTATCAATGATTTACTCCACACTACAACTAATTCTATCCATTCTTACGCTGATGATTCTACTCTTCATTCTTCTTCACATTTTACCCTTCCTCCCAACTCTCAAACTAGATCTGTTTCTAGAACTGATATCATTACTTCTATCAATGCGGATCTGTGTAGCACCTCTGAATGGGGAGGTATAAACTTGGTTAAGTTCAATAATAATAAAACTCAATACATGTATTTACCAATTACACTTTGTAAATTAGACGATCTCCCACCAATTACATTTCAGGACGCTATCATCCTGCCAAATTCTGAAATAAATATGTTAGGCCTCACCATTTCCTCCAATATGTCCTGGAAATCACACATCCTTAGTATTGCTAAAGCTGCCTCCCGAAAGTTGGGAATGCTGTACAGATGCCGTAGCTACTTCACTCCTGAGCAGTTGCTCCAAGTATATTAGGGATTCATTCGTCCTAATTTGGAGTACTGCTCTCATATCTGAGGTGGCTCTTCTTCTGTCCAACTATTAGATAGGATGGAATCAAAGGCATTTCGTCTTATTAACTCTCCTCCTTTAGTCGACAATCTCTCTTCCCTTTCTCTTCGCCGCAATGTTGCTTCACTCTCTCTTTTTTACAGGTACTTCAACGGGGAATATTCGGTGGATTTGGCATCCTGTGTACCGCCGGCAAGGCCGTGGGCTCGTAACACACGTCCTGCCCGCGGTGCCCACCGTTTCTCTGTGGATTCGGTCACATGAGAATAACCTGTTATAGTACCTCCTTCTTTCCTCACACAGCCAAACTGTGGAATGCTCTGCCTTCCCCTGTGTTTCCGTACTTATACAATCTGTCTCACTTTAAAAAGCTGATTTTCCAGCATCTTCGTGGTGTAGATTAACACAATATAACCTTTTTGTTCTATATTTTTAATTTCTTTCTGTTCTCTTTTTTTCGCCCCCCAGGCCCCGTTGTGGGTCGTTTGACCTGTGCCCGGGTGGGCTAATTCCTGTAAAACAAAACAAAAAGAATAACAAATAAACAATGTACAGTATACTGTACAATATTCTATCATGAATGGTTCAAAGTAGAATGAAAGAGAGGCAGAGTGTCGGTGAGATGCAGTGGGTGGGAGGGAGGAGGAAGGTGGGAAGTGGGTGGGCGGCAGTGGATATCGTATTGATCTGCTCTGGCTAAAGCAAAGCCATCACTGGAATGATGATCATGGAGCTGGTGGTGGAGGGGAACATTGTGGTAGGTGAAGAGGAGATGATGTGTCAATCGGTTTGTTTGGTAACACTGGCTGCAGCACTGGCAGACACAAGTGAACAGCTGATGTCTACCCACAAAGTTGAGTTAAGTATCAATGAACAACGTCGTATTCCTTCCACATTGTTACATAAATTTTAAATTATGGAGTGAGAAAGCAAAAAGGTGAGGGTGATTAGAGAGATGGAGTGGAAGGAAGTGGTAACACACAGTGGGTGTGTTGCCAAGCGCATACTGTACTTATCCTTGTCGGGAACATCGGAACATTCAACCAGAGAATACACACGTCTTCGTCGCTTGGCTGCATCAGGAACCTTAACAATCTTCTTTTTCACAGGTGCCACAGTGGAGGGTAAGTAAAAGTTTAAAAAATTGCACCAAAAATAAGCACAGAGCAGGAAACCTTCAAACACCAACTAAAACAGTGCGGTGAAACAAATGCTATCACTGGAAGCTGACGCCATGAGCCATGCTGACATTTCTTGGCAGTTGCTGCTACCGCTGGTTTTCACAGACCTGCCGTTGTCCCATGATAATTCCACTATAAGCCAGATCAATCAGTGATTTGTACACATGATCGAAATTGAGGATACAGTGAGAAGCCAGATCAGCGATTATCGGGTCCTGTGATTATTGAGGATACATATACAAGTATACAGTATACCCTAAATATCCCTTTGAATTCTCTGTGTCCTACACTATTATCAAGTTCACATTATTATCAAAGCAAGATAAAAATATTTTTTTTGCAATCAAATTGTGAATATAAATATTAAAATCAATACAGTACTCTGGGAAGGTTTCAAATCAAATTTAACAGTACAGTAATGGGACTTAGCTCCTTTTCCTTCACAGTTACAGTAAATCCCTGCTTAACTTCGTCCCGCTTAATGTTGTTTCGGTACTACGACGCTTAACTTTAGAGACCAAAAATTCGTTTAACGTCCCGGTGTTTCAGTACAACGTCGTTTTGCGTAGTCACAAACTACTTTTTACGGCGCATCACCCCTCTCTCGTCTGGCGGTGCTATGCTCTCTCAGTTCAGCGCGCTGCCCTCCCTCGCGTAACGTCACAGCATCCCCAAGCGACGCCAAACCAGTCTCTGTTACTACTTCACATCATTCATGCGTGCTAAAGTGCTTTTGCTCTAAAACTATACTCTAACTATTCAAAATGGCTTCCAAGTGCCCATCAAGTGCTACTGATGATAGTGTAGTGAAGAGGCAACATAAGACCATTACCCTTGCTACGAAAAAAAATGGATGTATTAATCCGATTTGAAAAAGGGGAATGTGCTGTGGACATAGCCGCTGTGCTTGGTCTAACCCTCACAACGGTGTGTACTATCCGGACCAACGATGACAAGATTAAGGTTAGTGCTGGAAGTGGTACAACTCTCAATGCAACTAAAACAACTCGTACTAGAAGCACTGTGATAGAAAAAGTGGAAAAGATGCTGGCTATGTGGATGGAGGACCAGAATCAATGCAATGCTCCTGTGAGCCTTATGGTTATCCAGCATAAGGCCAGATCCTTGTTGACGACAATAAGGAAACCGAGGGTGAAGGATCGAAGGAAGAGACCTTTAAACCTTAGTGATGGTCAGTACAAAACTGATAATAAGTTACACAAATTTATTTGTTAGTGGCTCAAGGTTAAAAATGCTTTGAAAGCACTTAAGGTAGATGTAGGATAGATGATTAGTAGGTCTCATATTTTTTACCTAACTTGACATGACTAGTTATGTCGCCTGTTCTTATAAGCTCTTTTAATGTTTGCTATGTGGTTGGTGTGTGGATTAGTGGGTCATGTTTTGTGACCTGACCTCATGTTTTGTAAGGTCACCCTGTGTACATAAGCTCTCTCTCAGTCTTTGTAATTCAGTTGCCTCTGAAGATGTCTTGAATAAAGAAGAAAGCTAAGGTTCTCCAATGTTTACCTTTTCCCTGTGTGATTTTATCAAGATTTATCTTATCCACATTTCCATTGTGGATCTACATGAATCCCAATATGCATTATACAAAACAAAATAAAAATCCTTGCACACTGATGCTGCCGGGCTTGTGAGTGGTGAAGCCAGGTCAAAAACATGAAGCAAGTTTGATTAGGGAAATGAATTCCATAAACCTTAATGATGGTCAGTACTATAACAAGGTTGGTGGTCTACTTACTTTACTCAGTCGGGGCGGTACTGTAGTTACTTAAAGGGGTCACGTGATTTTAAAGATATATATTCTGGTCTCCATCCATCTACTACTGGGGGTCCTTTGTTTTAGATTAATGTATTAGTTAGGAAGGGTAGTCGAAAGAGATATCTGCCCTTTTAAGTTTATTCAGCAAGGATGTGTAATGAAGTCACCTGTGTTCGTCCTACTTCTAACTAGATACTGTGGGGGGAAAAAGGGAGCTCACTGTACACCCGCAAAATTACAGGAAAACATTACCGTAGGTACACATTACCGAGCCTCCAGTATCGACGGTTGCCCGGCCACCAAGGAACCTCAAACTAACACCTCCACAGCCAAACTGTCTGCCCCCCAACACTGCCCTCTTGCTTTTTCGAACAGAGATTTTCAGTGTCCAATCAGAGCAGGGTTTTCCAAAAGGTTCTTATATTGTTACACTGATTGGTTGGCACACGGTATGGGCGGGGCTATCTACATGGCACCCACATAGGCTTACCTCTGTCCTCTTGAGACTTTAACTGTGTCCCTCCAGTCCTGACAAGAATTATAAACATTGTAACGGTCATTCACATGGGTGCATGGGCGCTCGTCTGTGTGGTTGTCCTGTTTCTTACAGTACAAAACTGATAATGTTACATAAATTTATTTGTCAGTGGCCCAAGGTTAAAATGCTTTGAAAGCATTTGAGGTAGATGTAGGATAGATGATTAATGGGTCTCTATTTTTTTACCTGATTTGAGATGACTAGTTACGTTGCCCGTTTTTATAAGTTTCTCTTACGTTTGCGGTAGTGGTGGTGTGTGGATTAGTGGATCTCATGTTATTCTCCTCCATCCACCACTTCCTTCTCTTCTCCCTTCTCCTCCTCCACCCCCCACTTCTAATTCCCATCATCAACCAGCAACATTCTACATACACACCTTAAAGTAAGTGTACTTTACTGTATTTTTTTCATACTGTACTTTGTATGTAGTGCACTGTACTTTTCTGTGAGCTGGAACCAATTACCTAATATGCCATTGAAATAATACACTCGGTTAACAAACAACTCTGTGGAACGAATTGTGTTCGTTAACCGAGGCGTGAATTTGTTTAAGGTGTAGAAGCTGTCGCAAACACAACAACCACAGCCTTAGTTAATGAGCTGCATGACCCAGTGTCAAGGAATAGTCCGAGAAGACTGTACAACTCGCCAACTGCACTGGCTAACCATTACCCCATAATACAATCTGCAAATCGATTAACATCCAGGTAAAGAAACTTGCCCACAGTTTCACCCTGCCCGGGGATCAAACTTGGGTCCGCTCATTTGCAAGGCGAGCATGCTGACCATTACACCACAGGAATATTGGGTGACATAATCAAGTCGCTAAGTTACCCGTACTGGTCTTTTTTCCGTGTGGTAGTGACTTTTTAAACAAATCTATCCAGAGTACCATTAACATACAGTAACATAACTAATTGTATATGCGTTGGCCAATATTCTCACTCTTTGTTCTTTTATATCCTTATTACTATTGCATTTCATTCTGGATGATGTCACCATATCAGCCACTCCATAGAACAAGTTCGTTATATCGGAAATGAATTTGAATTTCAAAATATGAGACCCAAAATCAAAATCAAATTTGATTGGGCCAAAAATACCGGGAATTAAACAAATCATTTTAATTGGTTGCAAAAAAAAGCTTTAGATTGGCCGCGTGAATTGTACGGGAACGCATGCTCATGTTGATTTATTAAGGAGACACGCAGTGTGGGAGGTGAGGTAAGCGATAATGGCGGAAGATTAATGGAAGAAAATTGAGAAAATCTTGGATATGCTATCTCGTTATTAGTATACATTTGTGACGGTAATGTAATAGAAGAAAATTATCTTATAATTAGACGTCTTATTAGAATATAATAATAGATTAGGGGTAAGAATGTTGAGTGCAGAAATGCAATAATACCCCATTTTAAAGCGCTGGATTACATTTATCTATTTCACTGCACTTTCCTACAAGATTTACAAAATCTTTTTTTTTTGTAATCATAGATAAAGCTAAAATGCATGGTATATATACTAGTAGGTATGAATTATCTCTTGAATTGGGTGTAAGTAATCTTGGGTACGAATTATCTTTTGAGTTGGGTACAAGTTATCTTGGGTACAAGTTATGGTATTTTTGCATTTACACACCACACATTCCTACCACTAATCTATTATCATATTCTAATAAGACGTCTAATTATAAGATCATTTTCATCTATTACATTACCATCGCAATTGTATAATAACGGAGATAGCATATCCAAAATTTTCTTTATTTTCTTCCATTAATCTTCCGCCATTATCGCCTACCTCACCTCTCACACTGCGTGTCTCCTTCATAAATCATCACGCGCATGCGTTCCCGTACACGTTACACGACCAATCAAAAGCATTTTTTTTGCAACCAATTAAAATGATGTGGTTTCATTCATGGTATTTTTGGCCCAATCAAAATCGATTTTTATTTTGGGTCTCTTATATTTCCAAATTCAAATTTATTTCCCACCATGGAAGTCTGTGATGGGTGTCACTTTAATTATATGGAGCTGATTGCGAGTTTTTGGGAAAAAAAACGAAGAAACTATAGCATTTTTTCGATCGCATGGTGTTCTTCCAACCTCAGTAAAGTGTATAAGAGCAAGACGGAATGTAAATATCGCAGAGACCAACATATGTGGCGTTGTTTAAGAATCCCAGAAACCAACGACGAACAAGAACCAGACCAATAAGGTAAGAAATAGGGGATTCCATCATATGGTGAAAGTCAGTTAGGTTAGGTTTGGTTTTTGTTTTTCTTGTGTGTTTTGGTGTATTCTATATTCGCTTAGCGATTATTATTTTTTTTTAAACGTCCCACGAAAAAAATCGATAAAAAAACGGCCAATTTCCAACGGAAATGAAGGTCATATTCTGTCTAAACACACACAAATACACTAGAAAATATATTTTTTACTTTCTAACAGAGTTTGGGGTGGAAGTGCAAATTTACCCGAGTTGTCTTGGGTACAAGTTGACTTTTTTGGGTACGATTTATCTTGGGTGCAAGTTGTCTTTGGTACAAACGTCCTCAGGAACGGAACCCGTTCGTAACCCGGGGATCGCCTGTACTATATATGCCGAGAAGATCAACATCCCTGAGGTTAGGGTAGGTTAGGTCCTATGTGAGGGAAACGTCATAGAAGATAAGTGTCATAGAATTATCTAAACTATTGATTGCTATTAATTGCAAAAATAAAATTCCTAAGATTCCCTTTTTTATCTGAAAGTAAAAATTTACCGAGATGATCACCTGGCATTGTTATCTTCTTGTAAATGACACCACCAAATTAACTTAAGCTTCCACAGACAAAAATTAACTCATTCCTTACCTGTCCTACAGCAAAGGTTGAAGGCTTGTACTCCTCTACAGCAAAGGTTGAAGGCACAAGCTGTATGAGGACGAGGAGGGTGAGTGTGGTGTACAAGTTCATTGGTCCAGTTGTCATCTTGGTGTTTCTCGACCACCGCCACACTTCCTCCAACCAAAACCTCTTCATATCCGGCTACTGCACCCTCACTCTGCACCTGTCTCCGCCTAACACCTCTTAATATCGTTGATCTACCCGGACACAAGTAGCAATTTTCATTTCAGGTAAACCAGGTAACAGGAACAGCACACAGATGACGAGCTGGGTTTTTATTTCCTGCTTCTTGGTCAAGTTGTTTACGAATGGAGGAGCCACAGAAAACGGGGCTCATCTTAACTACAGAGAACGACAACCATTAGCACACACGCCTTCATTACTGGGGACTAGTAACTACCCTGTATAATATTATAGTTTTCTTTCGCTAATTATTAATCTTCCTGGAATAACTCATCTTTTTAAAGGAGGCATTTTCTAATTTCAAATTTTAATATATCAGCTCGAGCCCGAATTCACCAAAGACAATTTTTTATTACATTATTTTTTTTATTACATTCAAGAACGATAATCAGGGACAAAGAGCATTAGTAATAAATACTACTACTACTACTACTACTACTACTACTACTACTAATAATAATAATAATAATACTAATAATAATAATAATAATAATAATAATACTAATAATAATAATAATAATAATAATAATAATAATAATAATAATAATAATAATAATAATAATAATAATAATAATAATAATAATAATAATAATAATAATAATAATAATAATAATAATAATAAAGGTTTACCATTGGATAAGCATGTTTATGAACTACTGTATGAAGTTGTACAGTTCAGCATTACATTAAGTACTGTATCAGGGCCGCATTAACAACGGTGCCTGAGGAGCCCGGACGGGGGCCCTGGGTCCAGGTGGGCCCTTGAGTTTGCAAACATTTGTTATAATAATAATAATAATAATAATAAAAATAATAATAATCATAATCATAATCATAATCATAATCATAATAATAATAATAATAATAATAACAATAATAATAATAATAATAATAATAATAATAATAATAATAATAATAATAATAATAATAATAATAATAATAATGTAAAATTTGCAGCCCATTACATTGCAGCAAAAATAGTAAATGATAGCTGTATACTGTACTGTATAAGGACACATTATATTATTTATACTAGTAATAGTACTAATAAATTCTGGTATTTCTCAGTTTGCACTATCTTTTAGTCTAAATATGAAGGCTAGTGCACACACCCCTCCCCACCTGTACCCCCACCCCGGGGCAGGAGTAGGCAAAGTGGGCAGCTGCCCAGGGGCCTCCACATATTACAATATTTCATTTATTTGTTTTTCATTTGGATTATTTTTATTTTCATTCTTTAAAATTCATGTTTATCTATTCCATCACGTAAAACTATGTTCAGCAAGAAGCGTGATAGAAATTAGGCTAGCTAGCCGCCCCCCGGAACTCCCAGATGTTTAGGCTCACTTCACTCCCCACCCCACCCTCTTGGGTAGTTATAATGAAGGGGGCCTCCACAAAGAGGCTGCCCATGGGCCTCCACAGGTCTGCGGAGCAGAAATACGCCGCGTCAAGTCATTCCGACGTACTCGTTCAGTCTCGTTCTGTTCACGTTCGTTCGCCACGTACCTGCTTGGGGGTGTTGTGTGAGAGCTGCTCGGCGTGACACTCATTGATTCATATTTATCATTGGATTTTATGTCTTTACTAAGGTTACTGTGCATTGGATGAATATGATTCTATGCTTTAGAGTTATGGTATAACGTGAATTTGGGGAACTGCAAATATCTATCAGTCTACCTGTGCATGAAATTTGTAAATTTATGATATTTATCATATTCTATTCTGCATTTCAGGCTTTTAGTTTCAGTTATTAAAATAACGAGTGGCAAAGGTTTAAGTGGAGCTGCTAAGCGCAAAGCCAGAAAACAAAAACAACAACAGTATGCTGCTGTAAACTTAAAAAAATAAGAAAAGTTACTTGTATTTTTAAATATAAACCAAAGTGAGAAAAAAAGACTTGCCACACTGTAGTACCTCGTCTGCTGATGCTACACCTACAACTGACTCCAAGAATGGTCGAAGAAATGGCTGCTGAGATTCAATGTCACGAAGTGTAAGAGGATGCACCTGGGGCGTACCAACGGTAAGGAGGCGTATCATATGTCCCAACGGGATGAAGAAACTGCACTATTTGAGACTGAATGTGAGAAGGACCTAGGTGTGTATGTTGACATTGAGCTAAAGTTCTCGGGTCATTGCGAGAAGAAAGTAAATCAGGCAAATAAATTATTGGGTCTTATAAGAAGGTCGTTCAGATATCTAGACGGTCCGTCCCTCGTAACGATCCTCAAGAGTGAAGTGCTTCCCCATCTGGAGTACTGTCACCCCGCCTGGTCCCCGAGATATGCTAGGGACTGTCAGTTGGTTGAAAATGTTCAAAGGAGGGCCACCAGACTGGTGCCTGCCCTTCGGCACCTCAGCTACCCTGAGAGATTGGAGCGCTTCCAACTTTTCCCTCTCTAACTCCAGTTCCATTATCCTAACAGTATGATTCTTAGAGTCCTCCTCTAAATCACACAATGATAAAGCGAACTCAAGTCCCTCTGTGTTTACAAGATGGCGTAAAACATCATTTTTCAATTCAGACTTTCTCCAGTGATATTTAATTTGGGCCCTATACTCACGAGCCAATTTAATCCAATCCTCTTTCCTCAAATGCTCCAGTCTCAGGAACTCTACACTAGGATTACCAGCAAATGTTTCTAGCTCAAATTCCATCGTTACACAATTTGCATGCAATACCACAGCACAGAGAAAGAAGACAATTGGTTAAACTTCAGCAAAACTCGCTCTTCACAATACTAAACCTATTTTGTATAAAACCCGTGATAATTTGTCATCAGCTCCCAGTCAAGGCCCCCACATGTTACGATACAAAGCGAGGCTTTAACCCGCCCCTCCCATAACAAATTATTCAACCTCGCTTTGTATCGTGACAACACATAATTAAATACTTGCATTCACTGATTTACTGTAAGAGTTTGGGGAGAGAGAGAATGATAATGATAATAATTATTATTTTTTATTATTTTCTTTAACGATTTTATTTAATTCTTGAGTTACTTGTGCTCCCCAAGTAAATAGCTAGCCCATATGCCTATGATTACTTAATTGCATTTACACTGCTATTGGCAATAAAATCATAAGAGTATAAATAACAATGTAGAGAGGAAAAGGGGGATTATTAATAATAATTTATATTTTTTTAATAATAAGAATAGGAATATCATAAAAATAATGATCACATGAGAAGTGTGGCTGGAATATCTTCTCATACAGTGGGGTGGCCTCACCGTGATGATATACGAATCCTCCCTTTCTACCATTTTCTTCCACTACACGCCACTGACGTCACATAATTAGCTCTGCCTCCTGTGCATAGGTTGACTTGGTTTAATTAAACTACTTCTTA